AGGAGGAATATCAAAATGAGAAGAATTCGAGAGGGAGAACCGAAGAGTGATTCACAGATGTAAAAGAAACCGACAGACACCAAGGCTCAGAAAGGATAAGATGAGTACTGTGGTAGGGGTCAAATATGACATACAGTGGGGTCATGGTAGTTTGAAGTCAGAGGTCAACTGCCGGTTTATAGACTTTTTGCCGTGTTAGGGTTAGATCAACTGCCGGTTTATAGACTTTTTTGCCGTATGCGCATACACAATGACATACAGTGGGGTGATGGTAGTTTGAAGTGAGAAGTTGTGACATATAGTGGGGTGAGGGTAGTTTGAAGTCAGAAGTCCACTGCCGGTTTATAGACTTTTTGCCGTATGAGTATACTTTGGCTGCCGGTTAAAAGACTTTTTTGTCGTATGATTATACGTTGCCCAGGGTGCACCACGAGGAGGTAAGTCTATCTCACACCCCGAATTTTCATATATAAATTGCAATGTTTGGTTCTTTTGGCTATATTCAATGGAAAATTATTTCCTTCGATTTGAAGGCCTTGAGTTAGAAATATTCATGCGAACGTGCTTATCTGTTAGAGTAAAATTGGATTAATGATTGAATGATTGATTTAATAACAGCTTTTGATCATTTATAATTAAAGAATCCGGCCAATAAGAGATTATAGATGGCATTAGGATGACGCAGTTTTGATGAAGTTAGTGGGGAACGAGAAATGGGGAACTTAATTACCTCAAATCAACCAAACAAAGGATTAAAGTTTCGGTTTTAGGGTAAAGTATATTAGAACAAGGTGGGGATTAAATTCAAGATGCAGCACAAGGTAGTTTGAAAATTAAAATTAATTATTATTCAACTTTATCAAAAGAACTTAGTGTAAATGTTAACCGAGCTTACAATTGAAACGACACTCATAAAATTATATGGCACTCAAATCTTTTTGCATAATTCTCCAAATGTAACTCTTAAATAATTGCTTTAGAATAAGCAAAAAAGGACATATATATATATATATATATATATATATATACATTTAGAGACAAAATTTCAATTAGTTATAAACCTTCATGACTGGAAACTATTCACGAATCAATAAATTCACTTTACTACGTGCACCTAATTAATCTTAAGTGTCTAAATTTGGAAAAATTGAAACTTTGGCAAACGCCACAATTTCGTTCAGCTAACAAAACAAAAGTCACTTAACAATGCTGTGATATATCTAAAGGAGAAAATTATAGATACGCAATTAATGAAGCTGAGACCAGATAAAAAACGAGATATTCGTAATTTATTCACACCCTACATTTTATTTCCACTTTTGGTGAGTGAGTGGTGTGATTTGATTCAAAGAATTTGGAATTTTACTTATTTTAGTGGAGAATGCATTATAGGGTTTATTCCTTTTTTGCTTTCCGGAATCTAGAAGTGAACAAAAGTTCGTCACTTTTGTCGAAAGTGAGAAGTAATATCAGGTTAGACGTAGGTGTCTGAAATATGACGGTTTAATTTCCAGTTATTTGAAAGCTTAATATACATCTGTGAGTAAGTTATCTGAAATTATCTTTCGAATTAGGTGATATCGCATTACATACAATCAATCGCATTTTACAGAGGTGTGAAGCCAAATCAGGAATTGAAATGATTTCAATAGTTAATGATAGTCGGCACTCTTGGATGCCCGATTAGAAAGCCCTAGGATACACTTGTTCACCCAAGAAAAACACTGAAAAGGTAAATCATTGAAAAGTCCTTGGCAGGAATAAGAATCAGTGTATTGATGTTCTAGGCTGAATTAGTGTGACTCTCTTTGCTTTCTAAAAATTCTTATTCGAGCGGGGGAATTGAGTCTCTCTGCCTAGCCGATAATCTATCAATAGTTCATGGTTGGACTATAAGTAATCATATTCATTGACCTTGAACCAAGATGGCCAATGGGTACCGTGGCGGTGAAAGATACTGGTTTTCTTTGAAGTCTAAATTGAGATACTTCAGAGCGATAAATTAACCTCCTTGATAACCCCCCCCCATGCAATCACTTATTCACTAAATATTATTTTAAGTGTGTAATTAGATACCTAGAGGTAATTAACAAACCCACGTAAATTTCAGACGGGGACATTTGCTGTCTATCGGATCGCAGCAATGCTTTCTCCCGAAAGCAGTCAAAGATTTAGGTCACACGTCCGAGGTACGCTTAATCACTTTGCGCACCAAAGCGTTTTGGATGGAGATCAGCCATTGGCCAGAGATATCGATCATCTGACGTCTGCGCGTACACGTAAGCGTAGGGAAAATGTAGTTCAGAAAGTGTGCAAAAGAAGAGGCACTGTGGTGTGGTTGTACATCGTGCAGAAGTTTTGCACGGAAAATGGAGCCTTTCGTTTACGATGATTACTCCGACTTCGACACTGAAGAATTGGACTTAGAACTACCGAGGAGGAGACTTAATACCAGATCCACTCCAAAGCGCTCTCTTCGCTCCGTATCGCCCTTTGAAGTGAACGGTAAGTGTTCTACACTGGGTATCAATTTCTCGCATTAATTTTTTTATTTATTCCTATTTTCTTTAAACGTGGATTGAATAACAGATCGCTTGCTTTAATCTTTCTTTTATTAACAGCTATTTGGAGTGTGCTCTAAGTGAAAATTATTTTGACAGTTGTGTTGTTGTAACACTGGAAGTAACATTGAAACTACTTAAACTTAAGTAGAAGGATTTGCACAAGTTTTCGCTAAACAAAATAGCTCATACTTAGGAGGATGTTTAAACTTCGTGAATACAGGCTTTACATTTTCAGCTTTTTAAGCCTGTAAAAGAGCACCCTGTTTAGAGTTCATCCACTTTTCGTCAAAACTGTGTAGGTTCAATCACAAAAGCCATCAACCAGACTATCAGCAAATAGACCATTTGTAATCAAATAACCTCCCAAATAATTCGATCGGAGGAGAAATTTTAATTAAAAGAAGTCATGAACTTCAAAATCACCTTCTACCACCATCATCCATTTAAAAATACTCACCTGTAGTAGGCACTAACATTTTCTGCATTTATTAATTTAACACAATCGTTTGTTGCTTTAAAAGCACTTTTTGTGTGAAAATTTAAACTTAATTTTGATTGGCCGTTTTGATAATTTAATTTCTCTTAGTGTCTAATAGCAGTGGATTTCAATAACAAATATTAAAGAATAGGGAAAATTCTTTAGTAATTTAGTATTATACTTTCAATCTATTTTGAAAATACTATTCTTTTTAATCGACGGAGACTTATCCTTCGTTTAGATAAATGATGCTATTATCCAAAATGTCAACCGATGTCATAAATATAACCCCCATAATTAAAGCTATTCCCTTATACCATATGAAGGAAATACTGTCCTTTGTAAACATTATGACATATAGAAGTCGCCTCTCTTATGTGCGTGTTATGCCACAAAGGACTGTATTAACCGCGAGTAAACAGGAAGCTTAATAGAAAGTATTTTTTAATGAAATGTACATATTGAAATGTGTAAGCTTTCAGCATTTGTTGAGGTCATCAATAGGTTATGTGGATACCAATATTCTGAAAGCTTAGAAGTGAAGTCTGTATGGAGTTGCTTTGGTTCCATAGGATCTGCCATATTAATGAAAACTAGGAATGACACTGCCTTAATTCTTTAATTGATTTTATTTTTCAATTTTTAAATTCAATATTTGTGGATGGTATTACTGTTTTTAATGGTTTTAAATAATACACAATTAGTAAATGCTGATATTTATAATTTTACATATATGAATAGATGTCTGGAATATTAAATGGTCTATGTTCTAATACTATTCATTATTGATTTTAAATGCAGAATAAAGCGTTGATATCCTGTTAGTTTATTATAAATGCTGAAATTCAACTCAGAGATACAACCAGTTTTAAGCTAATCTGAAATCAAACAAGATAAACAGGTTCATTGAGATTAATAACGCTACAGTCGTGATTGTACCGAGGATAATCCAATATTCGGCTTCCACTTGATTCAATATGAAACAACGAAGAGAATTATGAAAGTATGGTGAACAGAGATGAAATTAGCCTGGATTTTGGAAAAATGCTTGCTGTTTATTGGCGAAACATTCAATTTTCGTCAATTTCTAAGCCACGCACAGAACAGGTAAATAAAGTTAAATATCTACATGTGGATAACTAGATAAACATCCCTATTCCATAATTTCATAGCCTTAAGAGTAACGACCTTTAGTATTCAAAATCTAAATCGCATTTTATTGACCTATGACAAATAAACAGATATTGCCATAAAGAGCGATGTAAAGTCCTTTAACATCAAAGGTACATCAATATAGCAACAGAATCATTGCCAAAGCAAAATTCTAATGTGTTATTGTCAAACATTAATGCAGATTTGGTAACCGATTACGGGCGATTGCTTTAATCGTCTCATCAGTACAGCTTCATCACAATTCCAACCTTCCAAAATTTGGAATAATGATTTATTTAGAAAATAGAAGGTGCAATAAAAGCTGGATGCATTTGGTGGAATATTCTGGGAATAATCCAAACAGTAATGTGGAAGATATAATTTGACCATCATACTCCACAAATATTGTCACTTTATCCCATGAACTTGCTCATAATTTAATGGAATAATGGACAATATTGGATTTTTTAAAATTTTATTTGAAATTTTGTAGGAAAAAGAAATTCCAGAAGTGCAATGGCTTGAAAAATCAGTTAATTTGGTGATGGGTGCTTAGCTGTCCCTATAAGAATATACAAGAAATTAAGATCGATTAAATGGTGTCTTCGGGAGGCTGGAACTCTCCCAACCATTAAAGCTCAAGTTTCAAACTGATTCACTTTAATGCCTTGTCTGAAAATCTATAAAACTAGAAGGTGCTTTAGTTTTTGAACAAGCACACGTTTATAATGAGTCTCTCTTTGTTGCACCTTGTAATCTATCATATTCACGCATTATTGGCATCTTAAGCAACTGTCTTATTTCAACTCTCCATTCAAGCGTTCAGAAAGAAGGTGTTTAATCACTAAAAACAATTTTTTTGAATAACGGAAAGTGGGATGCGTGATTGGAGCTGCGCAGAGATGTCCCATGATGACAGTTATGCTAATATACTCAAATAAAGTAGGAAAATTCAGTTACAAATTAAAGTAACTGCATAGCTAGGAAGACAGTGCTGTCTTGAGGAGCCCTAATGTGCCCTATTTTAAAACTTTTACGCCTTTTAGTGGACGAAGATGCAATGGAGAAAATTCGAAACCGCGCACGCCAGGCAACGTCAGAATTTCTGGACAGCTGTGACGCGATACGTCAAAAGGCCAAAACCAAGGACAAAGACGCTCTAAGAAAGTTCGACGCAGCAATTGTAAGTAGTAGTCCACACTAGACAGAACTTATCAAACATTTTCCTTTATCTAATGAATAATTGGAAACAGAAAATACCAGTGAGTACTGTCCGTCGTGGTTCCTTGGGCCTTCCACCCATGATACCGCGAGCAAACCGAGAAGGCAGTTTGATAACTGATGCGATTATCAACGTAAGCTCACATCTCCCAATGCTTCAGTTTCTGTTCCTGCATATCGCTTATCGACCTGCTTTAACTTCACTCTATCGAACACCATTTCATTTGCTGTTGAAAGCAAGCTCAATATGGTTCCTAAAATGTGCAATTATATCATGTTATAGAGTCCGAAATTTCCATTCATCTAATGTAACAGTTGTTTCAACATTTAAAGGGCAACTTTATGTGTTATCAGAGTTGCAACAATCACATTATCGGCGCTATTTTCTGCAAATTTTTGAGCTGGAATCGCTACAATGCATCCGTTTTGAAAATACGATTATAACTTTTTCCTTCTTTAAAATCTCATTTCCAATATAAGTAACATTTTGTGTGGAATGTTATCTCCGTAAATTTCATTTTTTTGCTGCTTTTCTCATTATGTATGTCATATACTTTGCATGATCCCACTGAATACTCCTAGCATTGTACCTTAACACTTTCTTTTTGCAATTTTGATCCTTCCACGAAATCGACAGAACGAGTTGCCAGCTCGGCGATCATCGCTTGGAGTACATCCATTCAATATTGCCCCCAGGGAGGGTAGTCCAAGTCCTCAGACTGAAACAGGTTTGAGAGTAAGCTGAATTGCACTGCGATACACTGCAAAAAGAGAAATGTAGTCTTGATTTTTAAGGCGCTGTCTTTGCACTGCTATGCTTATGGAACGCTTAGGCTTATACTCAACACCGAATTCATTTACTAACTTTTAAATAGACTCCTAATCAAATTATTAACTAAGTAAAAGACTGCAACTCTATTGCATGTATCAATAATAAGAGTACTTTTAGAAGTCAAAATGAGGCATATGCTCGAGTTGAACTTTATTTAAACAAAAAGAAACGCCTTTTTTCTATTAATAACGACTACACTTATGCCTTTATCGAAAGTGCCCACTAATTACCACTAATTAGCCGCAGTGTCAGAATTTTGAGTACTGCAGAAGGTTCCTTTAACTGCAAACTAATCTTCCTACCATCTACCATTGAGAGTTAGTATGTCAATAAATTGCAAATAAACGAAATATTTCCAAACCCTGATTTCTAGAAAGATCTTTAATCAAATTTCTTTCATTCTTAAACATGTGGGAAGTTAGATTATAACTCGAAGTCGACAAGACCTATGCGCAACAGCATAAATCCACTGGTTGATTAACTGCACTGAATATTTATGGCTGGAAGAATGCAAGTTTCTTAACGGAACACATCGATAGTGTTGATTCCATCTGCCCACGACAAATGTTGCAAGCACTGCCATGGCTTTTTTTGAAAAACATTCCAAGAATTCCAGGAATGCTTGAACGTTGTCTGCCTTATATTTCGACTTATGGCTTTTCTCACCTATCGAAATACTTGCATTAATCTCCTATCTTGCATCAAAATGTGCATTTCATTAACAATTATTTTAGTGCCTTATTTCTTGATTTGTTATAAAAAGCGCCAGTTTAATCTGTGTTGCCAGAAGGAAATTATATTGTTGCAAGCAAATTAAAGCTAAAAGCGTATGCGCCTGTTTATTTCACGTTATTGGGAAGTTTAATGTGAACACACCAATTGTTTTGTTTACTCTTTGCGTTACTGCTTCGCCACTGATTGACCTTGATAAAAGAATGAAGAAATTGAGTACTTATTTTAAGTGGCTAGTATTTAATTCCTCGTTATCAAGGGAATGCCACCACGAGATCTACGACAGGGTTCTATCTTGCGAGATCGTCATCGATCACCTCATCTCCCACCAATGGCATCAGTGCCCCCACTTCCCCCTAATGTCTCTACAACCCCAATTGTTATGAATGAAATCAGTGCTTTGGAAGCCTTCGCTAGAGATACTCGGGTGAGAGCCGAAAAATATGCTATCTTAATCTTAAGTTCAGAAATTGAAGTATACTTGGTTTGTGGTAGTTAATGAATAATAGCCGAAGAAAAGAAATCGGTTTACAAATAAAGTTTTAACCAATCAGATTAATGATTATTTAACGCTTGTAATACAAGTAATTGGATCACGGATCTCGTCAGGCTTAGTAAATCACGTCAGGGTTACCCATTTGTTGTGGATAGCCAAACTAATAATCCTTGACTATGTTCAGACATCTCAATGGCAGATCCTTCTAGTTTTGGAATGACTTCACAAAGCTATAAAGAGGAAACAGAAGTATGACGTGTATATGGTCTGGCACGTGTATGATGCTACAGTAACGTGGGACTTTATTCTTTTAAGCACTTTTTGGCATGATACCCCCGTATTGACTTCGGCCATTGATTGGTCGGATAACCAACTGCTAGCTTTGGTCGTTGATCGGTCAAGAAGACCTCTGGTTTCGTCATGCTAAAGTTGTGGTCCCACACACTATTCAAAATGCTTCAACTGTTTTTTTTTACAATTAACAAATGCGTCTGGATAAAGCAAAAAAATTAAAGCCGGAAAAATAACGAAATTAAAGAAGCATTGTTTTACGGAGGAAAGATTCTTTTGAAAAGTGGGTTTTGAAAGTAAAATTGATTTTCATTTTAAAGTCACAAATTACTCCTGTCTAATAGTTAGTAATGACTGCCAAAGCTCATGTCTTAACTACTTATAAGAAAATAAGGCATTTTTTTTGTCAAACCTAACAAATAGGAAAGATTATATGACTAAAAAATCAAAACTAAATTTGAACCCTTAGGTAAGCTAAATTATAGGTTTTAGCTTATTAGGCTAATAATTACCAAAAACTTTGAAAGGTAGAAGTATTTCCGCCTATTTGCCTGACAATTTTAATATATTGTTACTGAGATACTGAGCATGGCTTACTTACTCACCTAACCCATGTGTTATTTTACCTTCTCGATCACTACACTATACTGCACGAGTATAGCCGTTGCACGAGAAACTGCCTAGAGGACCTCTGGTCCACTCTAGATTTGTGAGATCGGTCACTCCGAGATTTCTCACTTCCCCTCGGGTAAGTGGGCTTTATTCGTTCCCCCTCCCCCCTCTCCCCTCCCCCCATTCATTTCTGCTCCTCTAGTTTGGACTTGCAGTTTCGTGGACACCATCTCGTCGCTTCTCATTTGTTGTTTGCATGCTCTCAGTTCATTTTGCTCGGAACTTTGGGAAATCTTTCTTTTTTTTGGTTCTTCAAGTAGAAAGCTATTGTTTATGTTGATTGAACTTTTTAACACCAATTTATGGGAAATAAGAAATAATGACATCAACGCATTATACTTTAACCTTTAATGGTCAAAATTGTAACTCCTATTGTTACTTTACCTTCCTCACAATAAAAATTGTTAGATTTTATTTGCCTTTCATTTATTAGAACTAAGTGGCTTTTTTTGAGTTTGTCCATTCTTTTCTTCAAAACTTCGGGTTGTTACCAAAGTGGTGCAACAGCCACAGATTTATGATTCTGGAGGTAGTTTTACTCAAAAGATCCTTATCAACTTATCACATTAAGTAATGCTAATGTTTATATGCGTTAAGAGAAAACCATTTCAGCGCGTTCTATGTCACCTTAGAGAACGTTTTGCAATTTCATTTGGTACGAAAAGGTTGCGCACCACAGCAACAAATTTCCTTTAAGGGTGAAGAGGGCATCGGAATATGGGTTTGCTTTGGTATTCGGTAAGTTAACGCATCACTTTGCTCAGACCCCAATGCAGGACATTGAGGCACCTTGTCCATTTAAATCTCACTAGTGAAAGTAAGAAGGTAAATAAATCAAATTAATCAGATAAGTCGACTTTGAATTTTTCGACTGCTAGAACATTGACGGCTTTGTGGAAATTCAAATTTTGAAAGTTTTCCCATTCTATCCTCCGTTCAACCGCATTTTGTTTGGTAGAATGCTTTATTTTGAACTGGAAGAATGTTCTATACTTTTTATTTTCTTCTATTTGGTTTAGTTCGACATTGCTTCTGCTTCTCGGCAAATCAAAAATTGTTTCATTTACTATCTACATTTTTCCATTTTTTTTTCATTTTGGTTTTCAGACCTCACCTGTGCGAAGTGGATCGTTGGCGCCAAGACCGACCACAGAAAGGGTAAGTAGGCATTTATTGATTTACCATAAGCGATGGGGTCTGAAATTTGAACTTTACTATCGAAAACTATATATACATAGCATTATTCGAATCAAGGTTAATAACAAATGGCTAACAATTTTAATTGTTTTCTCAAGCACAAGAATAGCTGTAATATCCCAGTACATTGGGTGGGGGAAATTTTTCCAGATTTTAGTTCGGGCTGAATCTCGTCATCGAAACGCCCTGGTGAGGAACTCGAATTCTGCAACCCCCCCCCCCCCATATTAACTTGACTTAATTGACGCAGTAGGGAGTTCTGCTAGATGGGAGGTTTAATATGTGAGTCATGCAGATTGAATAATGAGGGTATTTTTAGTAAATGACAAAAACTTTTGGAAACATTTTGGGATGGATATTGAAATAAGATGGATGTGTGGAGGCAGTATCGTTAAAGCTGAACTATCCTGATACATAATCAGCAAATAATTGATTTTAACTTTTGATTATTGAATGCGTTATTCCTAACTCTTCATGAATTAGGGAAGTTTCTCAAACAAGCAAATCGAAATGTGCACGGGATTCATTTATCATGATAACTTCGTTTTTCCGATAACGCAAAGATGTGTGCGATTGAAGTCTTAATGTATTAAAAGTTAAAGAAGGAGATATCGTGGACATTCGTTGCTTTATTTTACACTTTATACTTCCAATAGGCTCACTCTATCGGAAGTGGTGCTTCAACACCAAGAACAGGATTTGAACCGGTAAGGAGAGGTAATTTAATGTATTCAAGAGATTGCCATGGACAAAATTTTAATTTTAAGTACGTTTTAGACAAGATCAGGGTCACGAATTTCGAAGCTCGAACTTGAAACGGATGTTCGTGAGCGCATCAGCACTCGTCGTAAGATGCGCGATGTCGAGGTACGTGGTGTCCTACTTTTATAAAATCAGTAGCACAGATTAATTATAAAACTGAATCTTCTCCTAGTCTCGGTTGGATAGAATTTTAGACTACGAGCTGCCTTACGCCTCCAGCTTTAAGGAAATGCGTGGCACATTGCGTGATATCAACGATAAGATGGCCAAGCATCGCATGCTCATGGATAGATATTCTGGAATCCAAATGGACGAGCTGAATGAACCGGTGGCTGAGCGGGTTGCTGCCAAGGTAGATGAACTCATACCTAGGTGAGTCAGCAATCAAATCCCAAAATAGTTGAGTACTTGCCACTACAAGTATAATTTGCTCTAGAGTCCCCGCCTTGTCTGGAGTGCAAAATCCATTCAAACCACGAAGTGACGAAATTACCAGCTCATTTGACCCTCGTCTTATTCCGGTATGCACTTCCTCTTTTATATTTCCTTACAAATACAACTTATTCCACTAATACAAACTACTTATTGCTTCCACAGGGCTACTCTACTGGACTGTGTGTGACTCCGAACGAAGGAACTCAAGAACTTCGAGGCCGTATTCGCAGCCTGCTTTGCAGAACTCGGGAGAGCAGTCGTAAAGACGCGAACAATCCGCATTTGAGACTTTTCACCACCTCAAATGGTCGCAGAACTGCAGCTGTTGCTGATTAAATGAACGAACCCACAAATTTATTCGAGGGTGCTAGTTTCGCTTGGCGCTTCGGCTAATTCCCCAATTTTTCGTTTTTTTCCTTTCATTTAATCTTTACTCATTTGCAGATTGTCTCCTGCTAACGCCTAAGCCGATGTTTTCAAGATGTGTTAACCCGCCTAATATACGTAACCCTTTAAATGGCCTTATGGTTTCCAATAATACATGCCTTTGACTTCAATTAGCCTTTTAAAATATAAACAGACAAAATAAAAAGGGTGAGATCATTTAAAGGTTCAGGATAAAACAGTTGTAATTAATAAATCCAACGAGTTTAGGGATTTAAGGAAATCTGTTATTGGTATGGATTTTGTTCTCTATATGTATATCAAATGGTCTTTTGGTAGTTTTTGGATGACACAGAATGCTTAATCACAGAAATAATTTATTTATAACAAATGGCAGGCGTTTTGATAGTTATCATTAGCCCTTTAGTTGACTTCGGGCTTCGCAGAGGGGGGGGAGGAACATCAAAGTGGGAAGAATTCGGGAGGGGGAATAGAATAGTGATTCACAGATTTAAAAGAAACAGACAGACACAAAGGCTCAGAAAGGGTAAGATGAGTACTGTGGTAGGGGTCGAATATGACATACAGTGGGGTCATAGTAGTTTGAAGTCAGACGTCAACTGTCGGTTAATAGACTATTTTGTCTTATGAGTATACGTTGCCCAGAGTGCACCACGAGGACTTTACTAAGCTCATTTTGACAACAGATGATGCCGCCAGGAAAACATCCTTTAACGATTCTCCAAAGCTAATTAGGGGGTAGACTTTTAAAGTAGTTCCACTGAAAACAGGAAAATGTTCTAATGACTTTTTTGATGTTTTTAAGGACGAAAAATGACTAATTTGAATAAAGAAAGTACAAAGTTCTTCCGGTTATGGAAAATATACGCTGCTTCGTAAAGTATGGTAATTGAATTAGTCCATGCTGATACGGCTTCGTAAAATGAAATGAGTGACGATGAAGTTGGTAGAAAGAAAAGCAAAATTCACCCAAGATTCTTCATTTCGTGGATTTCCAATAATCAAGAAAACACGCCAGCGGAAAGGTAATTGGCAGCTGAATTGTTCGTTGATTATTATGGGTTAGACTTCCAAAAAATATCGAAGGTCATGAAACTGACCAAACGAGGGTGTACTTTAATACGACTATTCAATTTACGGACAGTCCAACAACCGGTTATGGAAAGGAATGCCAAAAGGCAGAAAAGGTAATCAAAATGTCTAATGACCTTGTGATCCAAACCACCTTTTGTTCAATAAAGATACTCCAGACAGCTCTCCCCTAAAACTATTCAATTACATGGGCCCTGGTGATGCACAAATCATTATGATCACCTGTCGGGCTGCAATTTTTAAATGGTTGAGCCGAAGTCGGGGTTCTCCAATGCGCGCTTTGAAACACTTTCCACGAATAGATGGGCGTTAATCTAGTTAACTCTGGCTCTTTGCATATATAGCCTGCTGTCCACAATTCTTTACTGTGAATTGCTGGTCAGCAATATTGGCACACACCATTAAAATAGGCCTAAATCACTATATTCAACTATTTAACCGATTAATTTATGGCAGCCAGTAAAACAGCAGGCAAACTTTACTTGTTATAATTGACAAAAAAGGATAATGAAACAGAATGATCGAAACAGCAGTGGTGATTTATTCGGAGCTATTTCTTTTCAAAGAATTCTGGAATGTTTAGATCACAATTCTACTAATGATGCGTTTTTATGGAATTTATTACATGGCTTTTTACCGTTTAATCAGAATAGTTATTTCTGTCAGTTCATAATTCGTATCTCTCAATTTCCGAGAAATGCCAATTGAGAAGTTAGTGAATTAGAATGCAAGAGACATGAAGAATTCTAGCATGAGAGAGAGAGGCGAAAAGAAGTCACTCAGCGTCAACCCTCGTAAGGCATGAAGTAAAGTAGGCATTAAGGAAAAAAGGTGCAACCTGATTCTAAAACTAAATAATGCAATTAATTCATTCTGATTTCATTTTCAACTCCTTTTTCAAAACCCGCCCACCTCACCCTTAGGGTTTTAAAGTTACCGACTTCGGCTGTACTACCGCATTAAAACAATTCAAAATTTTTATCACCTAATCATGGCGTTTGCAAAGTCTAAAACGCCGAGAGCGTGACATCTGCACGTGATTTGGATTAAGTCATTACTGTAGCAGGTCTGGGCAATTCCAATACAAATTTGACAATGGAGAAATGACAATCTAATGTTACCGACAACTAGCCTGCAAACTAGTATGCATGTACTTATCTTCTTAGATCTTGACTAAATCAACTATTAACATCATATCAGATTCTCTACTTGATATAAATTTCAGTGTCACGTTTCACCACTACGGTAATTGGAAATATGCCAGTAGTAAAGTAAAAATTGCAATCAAATGAAAGCACTTTATTACAAGAACCTATCAACAGGCGGAAAGTAGAATAGAGGAGAAGTGAAAGCGTGTGGAAGACATGAGGCATTTGTCATTGGAGTTGACGTTGAAAGAACTCTAATGAGCTCCGCATGTTGGGACTCTGCAAGCTGTTTACGATCGTTTAAAATCAACTAGTTTTATAGGCTTCCTCAAACATTACAGGGAATCGGAACTCCTAGCAATCATAATCGTAATATGTACACATTCTCATAGAGTCATCAAGCTTCAACACCATTGGCAACTTCGAAGGACTTCTTCCTCTTCTTACCCGGCCACAAGTGATGAGATTTCGGTTTTGCTGCGGCTCCACCAAGCTCACTCCCACTCTTCAACTTCTTATTCTTTCCGCCCTTCTTCGATACTTTAGTCTTCTTTTTGTGCTGCGCCTTGGTGAGCAATTGAGCTTGATTTGAGTTAAGTGGAGATGTGGCTCTCTGGGGGGAGATCAAGTCATGTACAATGGGAGGAGTAGCGATGGAAGAGGGACCATCGTTGTTAAGGGGAATATCACTTGGTCGATTTGAAAGAGGAGAAGAAGTGGCTGCATTCCTGCCGTTCTCTATTGAATCTATACTTTCCCGGTCACCTTCTGGTTTACCTCCTGAAAATAAAAGGCAGTGGAAAAAATGTGAGATAAGAAAATCAGCAGTGCTAGATATCTGAATTTAAAGTAAAAAAAGCAAAAGCTTAATTAGCATTCTCAGACATTCATTTACATTGCCGAGAAACAGGGATAGCCAATTCGGCATTGCCTACAACAGAGAAGGCTTCATAAATTCTAGGGAGTGCTTTAGGTCAGAAAGGAAATATTTGAAATTGTGAAAGGCTAAGAAAAATTTTGGTTTTGCATCCAAATCGCGAATTGAAATAAATATTTAGAGTGCAAAGAAAATGAATGGGCTCACCTAATTTAAGAGCTAACTATGTATCCTAAAGACGTCAAAATAGAATTTCGCTGCTAACAAGGGTGGAGAAAAGGTTTACGAATTAATCAATATTTTAGACCAGGGTGCGCAATAGACTTACCTCCACGTGGTGCACCCTGGGCAACGTATACGGCAAAAAAGTCTATTGATCGGCAGTTGACTTCTGACTTCAAACTACTATGGCCCGACTATTTGTCATATTCTTACCTTTTTCACATCTTTGTGTCTGTCTGTCTGTCTGTCTATCGCTTTTACATCTGTGAATCACTCTTCTGTTCCCCCTCTCGACTTATTGTCACTTTGATGTTCCTCCTCCTCTCTGTGAAGCCCCGAAGTCAGCTCCAGGGCTAATGATAACTATCAAAACGCCTGCCATTTGATATAAATAAATAAATATTTTAGACCTTTAACGCCCTTAGGACTGTACGGTCTTCCATCAAAATAAGCACCATTGGTAGTAGACTCGTAAACAGAAGACGCTTTTACCGTTTGAAACATACTCAATACGTCTATTGATTTCGTCTGATGCACCATCAAAGCTCATCATATCGGAGGCA